GCAATACGAATTCTTTCCCCCGCCCTTCCTCTTCTTCACATACGAATGCAATAGAACCAACATTAGAATTGAATACGAAGGTCTCCCCCCTTCCGATCCCCTCTTCCAGCAGGAACGCAACAACTATACAAGATGGCACAGGAACCAGAGTGGGACCAGCCATAAAAGGAACAATAATGAAACACAGAGAGAATCGCCTGGAACCCCCAATTGGTGTTATTGATTTCTCTTGTGGCTGGCGGCCCACTGCCCCCACGGCCTGCGGGGCCGCCAGCCACAAAAACAAAGCAAGAACAACTGCGAGTTCCTGGCGTGCTTTTTTCGATTGAGTTTGATGGGTGCTTGTTTGTTGTATGTTTTTATTTCTTGGCTGGTACCCCCGGGTCCTCAGCCATCTCGTACGTCTGCCACACAAGGAATTGTTGTGAGGTGGATCAGCAAAGGGTTCTGCATGTGGAGGCTTACGAAAGGATTCCTTGTGTGGCGGATTAGAGAGACAGAGAGAGAGAGAGGGAACAGGAGAAAGAAAAAAAGAGAAAGACAGAGAGAGAGAGACATTGACAAAAAGCCCCCAAATTGTCCCACATGTCCCCTCCACTTGGGAGAGGGGAAGGGGGGCGCTCGGCCTATCTTGGGAGGTAGTAGGGCCACGGAGGAGAGTGGAGGAACCGTACTGGACGATGCAATTCGCGAGAGCTCGCGCAGGCCCGAAACTGGATCTGCCCGTCCAGGCGGGAAGGAGGGGGCAGGGGGCAGGCGGAGGACCTTTCGGCGCAGACGCTGCGGTGCCCCAGGATAAGGCTCGCGCCCCGGCGCATCGTGAGCGCCTGGCGTCCGAGCGATACCAGCTGATGTATAGTTTAGAGGCCTGCGCAGTAGTTGTTCCCAAGGCCCTCTTGTTATTGATGTGGTGTTGCCGCTCCGAGGGGAGAGGCTCTCGCTTGGCGCTCTCATTTCGCCAGCTTGCGATCGCATGAGGATGTGACGGGGCGCTCAATAAAAATTGCACTTGATGAATAGATTCCCTGCCCCCCTGCGTTGCCACTTAATGATGCCCCCCCCTGGTTCGACGCGACAGGTATAGTTGAATCTCAATTGTTTCGCCCCCTGCCTTGCGACGTGACGTATAGAGCGCACGTTTGTTGCGTTCCCTGCGCTTACCCGTAGCCGGTGGAGTAGAGTAGTATGTGTTTCCGCTCCACTTGCGTTTCCACGTGACGGGTTTCTTGGGATTGTAATGTGTTCCGCCCCGTTGCGTTGCAACGTTACGCCTAAGATAAGATGTCATTGCTTCCGCTGTGCAACTTTGCCGCGAGACGAGTGGTGTAGATTGTGTTCGTAGTCGTCCCTCTGTGATGTGACGTCGCGAGTAGAGCAAAAGAGCGTATGTTCCACCTCCATGCGCTTCCACGTGACGAGTGGGATCATAGTAGCAGTTGCTTCCGCCACGCCCCCATTCTTCGCAACGTGGCGAGTAGGTTATGATAACATGTACCCCCGCCCCATCTTCAGAAGGGAAATCGACACCCATGATCAAAAAGATGTGAAGTGGATGGGAAGACGAACATCCAGAACATATGAACAACTATTTGAAATCCTGGGATGTGTATCTATTCATTTCTGTGTCCCTGGGCCCCGTCATAATAGCATGCACCACCCACCCCCCATCTGCGTAGCCATGTGTCGAGTGGAGTCGAATAGTTCTTTCGCAGCCCCTGCGCTGCAGCGTGATATGTTTCCCGCCATCCTGGCGCTGCCGCGCGAAGGGTAGAGTGGAACAGTACAGCTTCTGCCTCCATGTGTTGCCACGAGCCGACTAGAAGTAGAATATTTCGGCCTCCCAGATGGGTTCGAAGCAGATAGGGTCGGAGGATCGCGCCGCATCGCCGATGCATCGGCGATGCGGCTTGATGTAGAGCCCGATCGTCCCTACGCGGACGTCGTCGCCGGTGCATCGCCGACGTCGCCGATGCATCGGCGATGCATCGACGATGCATTGCCGCTGCATTGCCGATGCATCGCCGATGCTGCGAGATCCTCCGACCCCATCTACTCCGATCCCATCTGGGAGGCCTCTTGGATAGTAGACGGTTTCGCCCACCCTCCGTTTTCACGTGGTGAGTTGAGTAGAATTGTATTTGTTAATGCGCCTCTCCGTTGCCACGTGGTGAATACAGTTCAATGATACGTTTCGCATCCCTTGCGCTGTGGCATAGTATCCCCTTGCGTTGCCACGTGACGAATCGAGTCGAACAGAGCTCCGCCCCCCCGCGTTACCACGTGACGAAACGAGTCGAACATTGTTCTATTCCCCTTCGATGCCACGTGACGAGTAGAGTCGAATTACCATAGTTCCGCCCTTGCTGCATTGCCACGTGGCCAGTAGAGAAGTGTCATATTGTTACCACCCTCTACGTTGCCACGCGACCAGTAGAGCAGAATTGCTCTCGTTTCTGCCCCCAGATGTTTGCACGTGATGAGTAGAGTGTAATGTTAGGCGTTCCCGCCGCCTCTGGCGTTGCCACGCGGCTCAGCACATGCCATCCTTAAATTGCCACGCGACGGGCACCATGGAGTTGTATCTCCCCCCCCCCGCGTTGCCACGTGACGAATAGAGTAGAGGAGTATTCGTTGTTGGCCCGCCTGCGTTGCCGCATGACGGGTAGAGTTATGCGTATTTCCGCCACCTTTACGTTGCCATGCGACGAGGCGGCGGAGGAGCAGGCGTGGAGGAAAGGCACGAAGAAGAGGAACACTGACTGGAGGAGGAGGAGGATGAGGAGGAGGAGGAGAGGACAATTGAGGAGGAGGAGGACAAGAGCAGGACAAAAAAAATAGGAGAGGAAGCACAGGAGGATTGGGAGAAGTAAGACTGATGTGTGTGTGTGTTGCGCACGAGTTCTGCAAAGGGGCAGTCGGGTGCTGGGCGGGGGGATGATGCCCACTGGCTTTACGAAGCGGCATTCGGGTCCTGGCCAAAAACCCCGACGTCATATTTGTTTTCATAACGTCGACCCCCAGAGACGACCCCCTTGAGCTCACTCCACCTGGGTGTGGCGGCGCTGGGGAGGGCCGCCCTTTGGGCTCACCCTTCTGGGCGTGGCGGTGCCAGGGGGGGCGGGGGGGTCCCCTTGGGCTTACCTCCTGGGTGTCATGAGCCGCCCTTGAGTGCGTGCGAGTTTCCCCACTGGGGCCATGGGTTGAGCTTCCTATGGGGATACCATCCGCGCGAGGTGTGTGTGTGGGTGTACCGAACTGGGGGGACCCCTCTGTGGGGCACGATCCGCACGAGGGGTGTCCAAACATTTGGCGATGGCAATGCATGCGATTTCTCGTGCTGGGTCCATGGCAATTGCACCCTCGAGGATTCGAAGTCGTTAGCAGTTCGCCGTTCGGCCTCGTTTCCTCCTCTTCCTCCTCATCCTCCTCCTGATCCTCCTCATCATCATCTTCATCCGCATCCTCTTCCTCCTCCTCCTCCTCCTCCTCCCCCTCCTCCTCCTCCTGCTCCTCCTCCTCCTCATCCTCCTCTTCCTCCTCCTCATCCTCATCCTCATACTCCTCTCTCTCCTCCTCCTCCTCCTCCTCCTCCTCCTCATCATCATCATCATCATCATCATCATCGGTCGGCCAGTCGGTCGTAAGGCTGGAGGTTCGTAGCCTGTACAAAGATGGAGCTGCGCATAGAGAAAAGCCGGAACACGTGAAACGCATGCACGTGCAGTGGAGAAGAAGGGGGGGTACAGGACCCGCAACCCGAGCACCGCCTCCGCGCACCCTCAAGGGGGTGACCCTCTGAATCCAACATCCTTGTGAGCCATGCAGTCGTTGGCCATAGCATGGATCATGAAGGGGTCAAGGGGGATGAAGAAATCCGCGGCCCAATCGTGGAGCATCCAGTAATCAGAGGAGCCATGGACACAAGGAAACAAACGATGGACATTAGAGAGCATGGCAGAGGAAAGCAGACGACGCAAGGGTTCTGGGTGGACCTTGGCCTGGGCAGTGGTTAACTGCCTCCTCTCCCCAAGGCCCCTGAGGCTGACATGAGCGTGTCCCCCACACCTGCCCCTTTTCGGTCGACAATCCGTGAGCCCTCGCAAGGCGGGACAATGGACGGAAAGAAGATGGGTAGGCTTCAGCGCACTGTTGCCAAATTGACACTGACCAATGTCCACAGCCTGCACTCCTTCAGCCCTCACCAGAAAGGTGAGCTCCGGAAGATACCAACTCGAAGGGATCTGAGGATTCGTGAGGCGGGGGGCAGGGTGTTCCATGATACACGGCACTTTGTGTTTCCACGCCTGAACAGGAAAAAGAATCATGGTTCTCAAAAGGGCACTGCCCAGTTCGATCTGTCGGGCCTCGCACGCACTAATGACGGGAAGCCCCCAAAGGTCCTGGGGGGATCGGAGAGGCCGAAGGGGGTGCTCGGTGTCCCCGACTTCAAGATGTCTGGCCGTGCTCCAGGTCTCGCAGGGAGGTCCTCCGAGGGTCCCAACGGCAAATCCCTCAGCAACGAGCTGGACCCCCTGGTTTTGATCAACGGCGCCGAGTGTTCGGGGTACCCCCCCCCCCGGTTTGAAACGCGCCGCCGAATGTTCCCAAGGCAAGCGCCCGTGAAACGCGTTCTCTCTCTCTCTCTCTCTCTCTCATATATATATAAATATAAAAAATGTATATATGTATAGATGTATATATATATATATAGATATATCTGTAGCAGAAAATACCGGGAATCCCAGGAGCGCCCAGGAACGTGCGAGAGCGCTTGGGAATCCGGGGCCCCTTAAAACAACACTTAGAAGATTCAACACAGAGAACTGGGAGGTACGGGAGGGCATTCCATTCACTGCCCACGGCATGGTGGCGGAATCCACGCTTGGTAGCCCAGGAGGAGGGTTGGTATAGTATGATTGTTCCCGCGAGTGGTTGGCTGCGCGTTCGTCCCTGATGGTTCAGATGCTGGCCCGCGTGCTCGTTTTGCTACCGTGCCCTAGGCAAGGCGACATCATCAAGCTTTCGGCGCCCGTCTTGGAGCCAGAGCCCACGGCGCTCGTTCTCGATAGGCAGTGAGAGGGAGTAGGGGGACGACGATGACGACAACGACGACGACGACGACGACGACGAAGGGGGACAGGGGACAAGGGACGGGGGACGGGGACGACTACGGGGACGGGGAGAGAAGACGAGGCATGAAGAGAAAAGGACGAGGAGGACGAGGGACAAGCAGGCGAACAGGGAGGGGGGCGTGGAGGAGGTTGAGAAGAAAGGAGACGGAGTGGGCGTGAGGGAGGAGAGGAGGAGGGAGTGTTTTTTTCGCAATCTCCCACGATCGAAGGCACTGCAGTCCTGGCCGCGGTTGCATCCGCGCAGTCGCTAAAAGCAGGATGTCTTGACAGACCTAGATGCTAGCCGTGTTGCGTCCACTTGCGCGAAATATGCGATTGTCAAGAGAGAATAGATTTGTCTTTGCAAGCCCACTTGTTCGATATCGGTGCGACCGCAGCCAACCACGTGTCATCTTCCAATGTGCGTTGTGGGGTGAGATTCCTACAGGGGGATGCAAATCATAGTCGATTGGTCGATTGGTCGGCATTCGATGGCAGCGATCCTCTTGCTAGTGCTCTTTCCAGACAATGCATTACTCAACTGAATGATGCAGTGGCTGCGTTCTCGCCAAATCCAGTTACGGGTGGTGATCATCATTTCGTGTATTCGCGACCTCCGTGATCCGACGATTACCTAACAATTGCAACGTTTCACTATCGTAGTGTTTGGTTCTGCGCTCGACGGATAGATGTCGTAGGAACCAAGTGGTTGCTCCAATGGCTGCGTTCGCCAGCCGCGCAAAGCAACGAGGAGAGTGAGGAGGATGGAAGGAAGGGGTGAATTGAAGCGAAGGGGGGGGAGAGGGATGTGGGCACACCTACAGCTTGGGTTTGACCGTGGCTAGGGCCTCGTTTGGAAAACCCACTAGGGTCTCCCCGCAGACACGGCCGCCGATGCTGCCCGCGAGCAGGCCGTGCAGTGTCGAACGAGGTGGGTCGCTTTGGAAACGAGGGTGGCACGCCGTTCGGACCCTGGCCACCGAGAGGGAAAGTAAGTTCACAAAAGGCCCCCTGACAGGGAGGGCTATCTGTTGATAGCATTGAACCGGGCTCATTTTGACTCGTCCGACTCTGTTCGATTCGATTTCGATTGATTCCGATTGCGATTCGATTCGATTGCGGATTCCGATTTGAACTTCGGTTTCTCAACGGATGCCGAATTAGCCTGCCGATTTCAGCCGATTCAACTTCTCTTGACTTGGCTGCCGATCTCTGCCGGTCATATTCATCTCGATCGCCGATCCGACTCATCGATTCGATTCTGGGCTCCCTTGTTGAACATCTAGCGCTCACAGCCTCTCAGAATAGTCCTGAGGGTCTCTTCCTCGACAGCCTCCTGCTGTGCTGCTGCTCCATCTCCCCCTCCTCCTACTGGGGGGGGGGATTCGGTGTCACACTGTGCAGCGTTGCCGCAGGAGGCGTTCGTGCGCATGCGCTGCCCCTCGCAGTGGACGGCGTCCGGCCGCGTCGTTCTGATGCGCTCCATCGTTGTACACCCACTGGTCCGACCTCGTCCTCTACCCGGGGGGGGGGAGGGGGCAGGGTCGGACAGGTGGCCGCGGCAAGGGTCTCTTACGACTGGCCACAAGAGGGCCGCTAGATGCGGGTGAAGCACACACGGGCTCCAAGCCAGCCTTCTCAAGACCTGAACGCATATGTTCAAGACTCGGAGTTGCCCATTGAGTTGCCCTGTGTCTCCAGGCCAACTTCCTCGTCTCCCCCTTGCAGAACAGCACTCGGCCAGATCTTGCAAGGCGGAGATCAGCAGGCAGCACATGAGAGTCCTTCATGACGCGTCAGAAGCAGTGTCAAAAACAAGGTTGAATGTCACAGTTGTTGGTTTAGAGTCCATGGGCTCAAATCGAATCCTGCACCTCGTTCTCCTCTTAACATCCTCGTCCGCCTACTACTCCTCCTCCGCCCTCCACCTCATACTCCTCGTGCTCCTCTTCCGAGTCCCTCTACCTTCTCTCCCGGTGCCCCGTCTGCTGGACCCCCCCCCTTTGCGAGGCCTACCCGCGGCGGGCTCGTGGTCACCGTGCGCCCCGAGGGGCTGTATGGCGAGGAGCGCCCAGGGACGCCGGGAGGAAGAGGTCGGCCGAGAGCAGGTGCCGCCAGTCACGTCGACTCGGGGTCCCCCAAACGATGAGGTGGCCAAACGGCGCGGTGAGTCAGTGGGGATCCGGGGCGGCCTCACGGCTTGCGGACTTGGGCGATGGGCGATTGGGACCTCTGGGGTCCCAAAACCGTGCGGTGACAGACCGTGCGGTGAGGTTTTCTGGGGTTTCGACATCACCGCGCGGTCTGCCACCGCACCACTTTGGGACCCCCAGTCGATGCAGGATGCCCTTGCGTGTAGTGGCAGCTCTGCGGCGTTGCATGTGGCGCTGCCACTTCCACGCATCGTCTCATCCATTTCTCTGGCGAGGTGAGCGACTCGCACGTGGTGGCCTTGTCGTGGGCTCAACAGTTCCTTTCGGTGACATGAGGGCCGGCTGGCTGTCAGCTCTTCTGTTTGGCCCAAGACTTGCGGCCCGCAGCTCTCTTGTTTGTCCAGTGTGGCCCGTCCACCTGTTTGTCGATCCTCCTTCCCCCGCCACTGCCCTCTGGCCCTCCCGAGCCCCCCCTCAGCGGAGAGGTGAGAGACCAGTTATGGTGTCCGCGGGCCTTTGAAATCAGCGCCAACACCAGCATCATCAGCAGCAGCTGAAGCAGCAGCAGCAGCTGCAAGAGCAGAAACAAGAGCAGGAGCAGGATAGATGTCAGACGTACGAACGGAAGGGTGATCACAAGCAGCCGCAAGAGCAGGGGGGAGCAGGAGGAGAAGGATTCGTATGATGATAGGGGAAACAGCTAGGGCGAGGAGGGCAAGGAGGGCGAGGAGGACAGCAAGAGAGTTTCCTTCAGTGTCCATCCCCTTACATTTCCACACATTGCTTTCGGGACCCAGACCACCCACACAGCCGGAGTCATGGCAAGGTGTTCGGTGTTCAGCCGCCCTATATACATACAATGCTCGCAAATGCCATGGTTGAAAATCTGGTTCACTATGAAGCAATGGGGCGAGAAGAGCGAACATTGGTCGGGTCCATGAATTTCGTCGCACGAGGTCTCTCACATGGTTTGCGCAGGGTTCGAGGTCTGAGCCACATCGGAATCATGAGAAATTCGCGTTGGCTGTGTGAAGCATGTGGTTGCTTCGTCTGCCCTGCAGCATATTGCCGGATAGCGTCGCTATCACATATGCCAGGAAGGCAAGATCATTACACGGCAGTCTTTGGCAGGCAGCGGATTGCATTTGCCTTTCACTTTGCGGAGGCGAACATGTCAGTGTCCTTGTTGCTGAATTCATGTCCAGTATAGAGATGTGTACCGTTGTCTTGTCGCTGCCAGCTATGGACACGTACACCAGTTGTCGGTATGCAGGGCTAGCCAGATGTGTTGTCGTGCGATAGTGTCCCATGGCGGGGTCGTATAATTGAGAGCGCAGGCTGGCAGCTGCCGCATTCGTTAATGATAGAGTTTGGGTAAGTCAAGCTACTGCTGCTAATAAGGAAGACTTGTTTGCTATGGTGAAAGAGTTGTTACTTGGCGAGCAAGATAGAGGGGAACAAACCCGCAGGCTCCAAGTTCACTGTTCTCGGAGGCAGAGGAGCTGCCAAAAGTGGAGAGTTCACAGTGCACCGCGGCTTCGCATTAGACGAGACTGGCCTCTTGAAGCTCCACTTCGCCCACGGTTCCCAGGCGAGCGTGCGGAGCACCCGGCTCATTTGGCTTCTACCCATGTGATTGCATGTTGCCCTGGACGCACTATCCAGGAAAATCTGCCTTGAGGGGTGATTTGCGTTGGGGTCCCCCCTCCCCCCGAGCAGAATCACCTCAACTCGAGGTGCTCAAGGGTCGGCATGCACACGTGTGATGTCTGGTCAAGGGGTCCCCTGCAATGACGACCGCATGCAGCACGCAATGGGCATGCATATGCGTAGTGTTGAAGTTTCATAACGGATCAAGTCGACCACTTGCCCGCAGTAAAATGACGGTTGTGATCACTGTTATACCTAAGTGGTCCCTAGATTGAGACAGGGATCGGGCATGTTTGACATTCAGTCTCATCCGAACAGGCCGGTTCAGAATTTGGATTTGCCGATGTTGAGATGGTTGGTTACACATTCTTGGTCGCATAAAGTAATTCTTCCCATTGTTCAAGTAGCCGCGGTGCAGTTGCACACATTGAAGAGTTGGTGCCCGCACCATTGCGTATGTGTGCAGGTCGTTCTCTCTGTATGGCCCCTGTTTGCTAGTCAACCATGTACGGCTTGATCTGATTGCGGCTGAGGACGCGCTCGCAGTCAAAAAGGTCAGTCACATTGTCCACGTTAAGAGGGAGAGAGGGAGAGACAGAGAGAGCGCGTGAGAATGCGAGAGGGTGAAAGAGAAAGCACGGCTCGGGGATGCCCGCGTGTTGATATCGCGGACGCGGGCAGATCAACAAGCTCATGCTAACAAAAGGCACTGACATCAAGATCAAGGACCGAGCTGCCTGCTCGTGCATGGACCTTGCCGGTGCCGAGAGAGCGGTGGCCTTCTCTTACCACACGAGGATGCTGCGGCACCATTGATCGGCCACGCACAGAAGGGGATTTAAGGGGGATGGGGGAAGGCTTCTTAGAAACACCCCTGCTTCTTAGTAGGCGCGGGCTTTGTCTATAGATGTAGGGCTAGCGCCTTCCGAGAAGCAGCCTCCTTCTAAGAAGCCGTCCCCCTCTCACCTTGCCCCGTTGTGCGCGCCGCCACACTACGAACAGCACAACCCATTCCCACCCCCAGCCAGGACCCCCACTCCCGACCTGGTGATCCAGGAGGTCTGGCTGGGGGGGGGGGGGTCCGGCCTACAAGACCCCCTAAAAAAAAGAAACACCCCCACCCCCAGCCGGGACCTTTCTGGATCACCAGGTCGGAAGTGGGGTCTTGGCTGGGGGTGGGGGAAGGTTGAGCTGTCCTCAACCATGCGCTTTCGGTGCCCATCATCTCTCATATACGAGCAAACAATGGTGACACATCTCATGGCAAGTTGCGCACAGCGAATTGTGTAAACATGCATTATACATGCTTTGCCGCCCTGGTCAGGGGAGCAGTCGAGTATTCGCCGAGCGCGACGCAAGCATTGGCAGAGGATCTTGTGACCCTCCATCCCATCCCCCTTCTCCTTCCCCTCCTCTCCCTCCATACCGTTCCCCTCCTCCTGTTTCCCCTCCTCCTCCACGCGCGAATGCATGGAGTGCCTGTGCGGCCTGCGACACAGAACCCCGGCCATGTGCACCTTCTCCGGCTCCTCCGCTCGCTCTGCGGCCTCGCCTCCGTCGACATCGGCGTGCCCCAAACTCCGCATTCTCTGTCCCTCCAGGGTGGGCCCGCCTGCACCACCTCCACGCAACCCGATGGTTTGGCATCCCGCACCTGTCGGGCCGTGTCGTGCTACGTTCGCCATTCTCCAACAACGTGCTGGACTTCTCTTGTCGATTGCACATCTGCCAACACGTTTGTGACCTGTGGCACATACGACGCCGGCAAAAATTGGGGCCAGCCGCAGCCCCGCTGTCGACGGTACGGCTGGTCCCGAAAGCACAGCTGTTGCTCGCGTCCCTTTCCCAGAGACGCTTGCGAAGCTGTGACACAGTCAGATGATGTATCACAGCGGATGGGACCTCTTGCATATCGTTGGTTATGCATCTTTCTTCTCGTTCTTCTCTCCCTGTTTCCCTCTGACGCCGCTGAACGGGCGACCATTTTGCAACATCCGAGGACAGCATATTGGTTTCCGGTTCTTACAGTCTCCAGGATTGGAAGATTCAAACAGTTTGGCATCTGGTTCTAAATCCAGCGAGTTGCACTGAGATCTCCAGCGCAATTGTGTTTGCACCGTGTGCCCTACCGCGGTAAGGAAACGCATCGATATAGATCTCCAGCATGCGCGGGGCATCCAGTCCGACAGTGCTCACCGCGTTGTGCACTCCATTACAAACTGGAGTTCGCCGCCCTGGAGCCCGAGGCACGTTGAGGTCCTCCAGCGCAGGAGTATCTGCGGCTCGATATTCTATCACGACGCGGATTGACCGACGATGCCTCCGCACGATTGAACTGACAGTACGATCCCCGGGACCATTGCGAGGCGTGGTTGCCTTCAAGCAGGTTTGTGTCTGCGCCACGGGGAACACCATAGGCAAGACTATCAATACCATTGGTGTGTTCGGTGCGATAGTGCACAGTGCCACCGAGGGCTTTGCCACGACTGGGAGCACGATAGCTGGGAACTCTACGCGCAGCAAAGTTGTGGGTGCAATCGGGTGGTCTTCCAAGACGGGGACTACGTCAACGGCAATTCCCAGCACGGGCAGAAAATTAAATGACGAGGGTGTTCACAATCACGACAATGAAGCACAACAGCCAGGATTTGCACCACGACGAGATCCTGCAGCACGACCAACAACAAAGGGCTTCATACCCCACCACAACTGGCGGCATGCTGAGTGGAACTTGCAGCAAGATTGGGCCCTCCCATGAGACTGCATCGTTAACTTGATGCTGTAGCGTGTCGGAAAGTAAGGCCAGTGGGACCTCAGCACGGATGTGACCTTCAGAACGACGGCGCATCAGCCGCCGACGGGTACACCAGTCACGATCAGGCTACGCCAGGACCGCGCATTCAATTGAATGTTCCAGCACACGACCACGGTGCGATAGCGATTGGAACCCGCAGCGCGACGAGGTCCTGCAACGCCGCCGTTTCTACCTGCGAATCCGTTGCCACAATGTGGTTACGACGGCCGAGACTTCAGCAACGCTGAGCCTACGACAAGGACGGCGTCCGCAATCGCGAGGAGGGGGGTCTGGCAGTCGAGGCATCTAGTGCGATGGGGATGGTTGTTCGTATTATCACCGAGGGTAACGCCACGACTGGGAATCCCACAACCAGAAGTTGCAGCGTGCCTCTACGCGCAAGCTAGACTGGAGTTGCAGCTGAGAGATTCACCATAGCGGGGAGCACGGCTCCAGAACAACCAACATGGATGGAACCTCCAGTACGACGGTTGCTTCAACCAGCGATGGTTCGTTCTACCAAGTTTTAGGTCTCCGACAACCTGGACATGCTGTGCAGCAGGGCGGGCCATCCAGCACGATTGCGTTCGTGCATTGAGGCGGCGAAAGTGTCTTTTCGATCCCCGTTCACGACCATCGCAGCCATGCTGAGTAGCTCGGAGTAGAAAATCATCTAACCTCCCCGCGCAGCGGCGCATCCCGCTCGATCTGCCAAAGCGGTTGGCGCGGAGTATATCTGGATCCATGATAGGGACAGAGGGGTCAGCAGCGTCAGCCGAGTATAGACCATTTCGCCGCATGCCGCAATCCGCATGACACGTTTGGCTGTTCGCGTGCAAGTCGCATTGCAAGAATGGCGCGTCAGGGGAGGGGCATTGGCAAATCTGTGAATTGCAATGGATTTCTTCATCGCTGCGCGTTGAAGGTATTTGTGCCACGACTGCGCGCACAGTTGGTTGGTCACCGGCGGAGGCGAGCACGACGACCGAAACACCCAACACCAGGTTAAGCCCTGCTGAATAGAGCAATGACTCGTGGCTCCTCCACGGCTGGAAGAGAAACAGGCAGATCACCCAACACCTTGCTAGCACAGTCGGATTTGCACATCAGCGCTGCACGATGCCAGGGGGGCGAGAAGTGAGACCCAGCAATATCGGAGCCACCGGCACGATGGTGCATTCAGGCTTTGGAAGGCATTTCGATTTTCGGATGCGCCCCGAGACCTCCAGTTCGAAATGAATGATCAACGCCTCTTGCACCCCGACCGGCGCGTCCGCAAACAAACCCTACGCGATTCGACGTCGTGGAGCCATGGGCTCAGACAACGGCGTTGGTTCCTCGCTTGGAGACGAAGGAGATCGACTGCGCCGCTGAAGGCCCAGGCCTCACCCTTGGCCCGACAGCGGAAAGCACGGATTCTCGCGGCGGAGATCGCAAAACAGAAGGGGGCGCCCTCGTCGCCGCTGCTGGGCCACGCTGAACACGGGGGGGGCCCTCGGCCGACGCCTTGGCGGCTCGCTCCACAGGGGGTCAGCTGCCCGGGGCAGGCCGGCCCGCGAGCGTAAATTAGTGAATCAGGGCTGCGCAGCCGGATTGAAACACAAAGTCCCCGAGAGCGAATAGTCGACGCTCGTTCCTTCCGACCGCCTTTGCTTTCTTTTCCTTCTTCCTCCTCCTCCCCCCCTCCTCCCCCCTCCTCCTCCCCCCCCATTTCCCCCCCTCCCCCTTCTCCGTGGCCATTTTGGCTCGAGATGTTTTTTGCCCCTCGGACAGAGCGCGGATGCTTCTTAGTCCGAGGCCGGCTTCTGCCCCAGGCAACCCCTGTCGAGCTGCGCGCTGCTGGGGCCGGGAGTCTCAGTCCACCGACAGCCAGCGCATGTCGGACCCCCGCTTCCACGAGTTACCATGGGGCATGCGATGCGAATGGCAACGCAAAGCAGCCATTCACGGCGCGTGCACATGGACAGTGGACGTTCAATTTCAGGCCAGAGCGCAACACCTGCAAGTGCATCAAGTGCGGCGCGAAGCTGCAGCCGCGCCCGACGGGCCGCGCGGGCGCTGCGGGCGGCGCGGCGGCGAGCGGCAGCCTGCCAAGCCCCCGCGGCGCAAGGCCAAGGCCCGCCGCCGGGGCAGCCGCAACGGCAAGGGCGACAGCGACAGCTACACCAAGCAGCAGGAGGCAGAGAATATCAAGAAGGCGCTCGAGACGCCCACCCCCATCCCCCCGAACGATGCCATCGAGCTGGCCAAGAAGAACCTCGCTGCCAAGACAGCCTCCGAGACCAAGTCGATGACCTCCCCTCAGCAAGCCCAGTCCACGGCCCGCATCTTCGAGTTCAAGACAGCGTCGTTCCAGGAGGCAGCGGACACCCTCGTCGAGGCGGAGATGCTCGCGAATCAGACCAGGGCGGCCCACCTCCACGCAGGCCAAGAGATGCTCGAGGCGAGACGGGACCGCGCCCGCGCGGCCCAAACGCTCCCCGCCACGGATGTGGACCGCGGGCAGGCGGACGACGCCGCCGCCAGCGACGGCAAGAAGGTCATCTTCGCCCTCAACATGTCCCTCCTCAACCAGGGCCTCGGCAAGCTCGACGACGAGGAGAGGGGGGGGGGCTCGAGGCCCGCCGCGCCACCCTCGACGCCCACCACCAGGCCGCGGTCGCGGAGGGCGCCAAGGTCAGGGAGCGGTGGGCCAAGATTGAGAAGAGCAGGGACAAGCCGCCCTAGAGGGCGAGGGTGGACTCTCCACGCCCAGCGGACCCGCCCCAGAGCGCCGAGGACACGGTCATGCAGGCCCCTGCCGCGGAGGACCAGGAGGCCCCAGGCTTGCGCGACCCCGGCCCCGACATGCTCGCAGCCACCCTCCAGGAGTCCATCGACGCCGCCCGCGCCCCCCCCCCCCGCCCCCCTCGAAGTCCGCGCAGGCAGCCTCCAGCCTTGGCTATGAGGCAGCGGCTGCCCCCGCT